TCCTAGAATTTATTCACCAACAGATATATAGACAAAACATTTCAGATAACGTATCTGATATTTAATATTATATAGCATTGAGTTAAATTAATTTAAAATGAGTACATTTGTGTTGCTCCCAGGAAGTAAAGATCAATTTTCTCTGTTCATTGTGAGAATTTCTTTGCTTTCCTCTCCTCTTCGCAAAGCAGTGTCAGTTTTACTTATGGGATAAAAGCCAATTGGACCTTACGTGTGATACATGAGAAATAGGCACATCATTCACACCATTCTTGTCCAATACTGCTTACTCTTGTAAGCGTTCATTGCATGCCATTCATTGGAAGCTCAGCCTAGTTGCACTTATGCCTAGTGAACTCCTTGACAGCCACGTGTTTGTAATATGTGATTTATTTGCTTCACTGTTACATTGCTTTGAAGAAAATAATCTGCTGAAAAAATATAGATATAGTAAATCATTCACATTGAAAGTTAAATTTATCTGGCTTGCTTGCAATGGTAGTGAAATGGATTTTTAATGGTTTGTATTATGTGTTGTCTTCTATCCAACACGGTGTTCAGATGTAGTTCTTTGCATGAAAAATCCCTTTACGAGTCACTTTGTGAACCCTCTCCTTCCTGTGGAATAGAGCAGTCCATCCTAATCCTTGCCCTGTGCACCCCCGTCATCCCACATGCTTAGGCTATTCCACCACCCAACAACATGATTATAAATTATAACTGTAATCTTCAACCCCATATTTAGTTGAGTCAGTCGTGCTGGAAATGAACTGTAACAAATATATGTTTTTTTAATGGGATCAAAGAGCTGGGGTGGCACAGTGGTGTAGTGGTTCCTATTGTTGCCTCGCATATCTGGGTAAGGGGTTTGAGTCTCTGCCCTGCCTGTGCATGTATGGAGTATGCATACAGTACGCTGCATTAGCTGCCCCCTGCTATGTCATGCTGTCACATATGGGTTAAATGCTGAGGACACATTTCATTGTTGTGCACTGTGCTGTGGTGTGTCAACAATGACCATTGATCACCAAATTAAAATGAAATGAATTAAATTAAATTAATTTAATGTTCTCCCCGTGTCATTGTGAGGTCTCCTCCAGTTTATCCCCACAGTCCACATCACATGCTATGATGAATTGGTGTCTCATACTGTGTCTCATACTATAGGTGTCTCATACTGTGTTATTCCCTGCCTTGTGCTCATAGCATCTAGAATAGGCTGCAGACCCTAGTGTGGGCTTAGAAAATGGATGGGGTTTGGGAGACTATGGCAATGTGCTGACTAAGAATTTAACAGTATATGAAAACTTTTTACATGAGTCTATTTCCTACATGGCTAAACTTACTAATAGTAGCTGAACATATATACATGAGGAAATCCATCCATCTTCTAATCCAGTGTTTCCCAATCTGATCCTTGGGGACCCACTGATGGTCCATGTTTTTGCTCCCTCCCAGCTCCCTGTCAGACAGTCCACATTTTTGCTTCCTTTCTCATTCCAGCCAGGAAGGAACCAAAACATGGACTGCTTGCGGCTCTCCAAGGACTAGATTGGGAATTACTGTTCTAATTAATATTCCTGGTCTGGGTCATGGGGGGTGGAGCCAATCCCAGGAAGCACAGGTCACAAGGCTGGGGCACATCCTGGATAGAATGTCAGGTCAAAGAAATATAAAACTGTACTTTTATTACGTCATACCAATCACCCACCCACCCATCCATCTTCTGACCACATATCCCAGGCAGAGTAGTAGGGTCATAACAATCTGGTAAATCACATTTTGGGAGACGGCACATTTAAAGGGGAGCGTAAATATGGGAAAAATCAAAAAAGGCTCACGTTTTTTGAAAGTATGAACCTCATTTTCACGCACAAAAACATTTATAAAAAAAAAAAACTACAAGATTGTTCTTGAGTTAGTATTTAAGATCGTCTTATTTGTCAGATTGCAAATATTTCATTTTTAAAAATCCACTGCAGTTCTAATGCATAACAGTAATATAACTGATCCATGTCATACGTTATGTAGTATTTCATATATAAAAGATGATGGCTGTTTTGTCGTACCATTTAGGTAATAATATATGATAACATGAAAGAAGTGATTTAAAGCTAAATCCATACATATATATCAGTGTACTTGCAATCAAGATTCAGCATCAAAACTGAAAATAGTATGAAAGAATACTCATGTTTTAGTTCAGCATTTGCACGTTCTTTCTGCTGAAACGACACGGACAGCAAATGAGTCAAATAAAAACTGCAACTTTTTTTTAGTATAGGTGAAAAAAAACTCTCCTCCTGAATTGTGTCATAGGGAGACATCAGGCTGACCTTATCCAGGGTGTGGTCTTATGGTCTCTGCCATGGAGCGTCATTCATTCACATTAGCGGTTGTTGTACATCCCTTCACTGCCCCACATCCCAAACTCTGCTGTCCTACAAGCACATCTTCACTCAATCCCCAAACCTCATCGAGAACTTAACATTGGTTGGCTTTCCCCCGACAAGTTTGCCCCTCCTGTTTTCAATTATATTTACAATGAGCACACATTTTTGCCGTCTGAATGAAACATCATGCGTGTAATAAGTTAACAAAATCTCCCCTTCTCTGTGGTAAGAATGACTAGTTAAATGTAAAATTGTTTGTGTGCCTACAGTATGTGTCAGAGCAGCTGACGTATCCATGCGATCCCATTGCGGCTGTGATTGCTTGGAAAGCGACGGTTTTAAAGGGGGAAAAAAAGTCAGGAAGTTCCTTCCCCTGACATTCGTGACACTAACTTCTTGTACAGTCTGTTATTATTCCGGATGACAGTGTCGCAGTGTGAAGCGATGTGGTCATTCTGTGGCTATAGCCCGCACCTCTGCATGATTAGTAGGAGTCATTACCACTATCATTAAAGGCGGCCTTGTAGATTTGTTCCTGTGTCACGGTGTCTTGGAAAGCGACACCCTGCAAAACCATATGCATCCCAGCTAACAGGTAATGTTTCCCAGAACTTCAGCCAACATTATGAGAACATGTTCTCAAATTCAACGTTCCTATTGCAACATTAATGGAGCGTTATTTCCAACGTTTCACATTTTAACGAAGGTTCTGGCAATGTCAGCGTGATAAAATTATCACTTTAATGCGATTAATAAGTTAAGCTGTAGGCTAGTAGCAGTTGTAGTAGTGGGATAATGTTCTAGTGGAAACATCAAGAAAACTGGACACTGAACGTTTCCATTAATGCTGAACGATTTGAGGAAAATGGTAGCACTCCGTCATGGGATACACCGTAATGCAGTCACATGTTAAGATTATACAATTCCTTGGTAAGACCCCACCTAGAATATTGTGTGCAGGTTTGGTCACCGTACCTTAAAAAGGACATTGCTACCTTGGAAAGGGTGCAACGTAGGGCTACAAGAATGATTCCTGGTCTTAGAGGAATGTCTTATGAGGAGAGGTTAGCTGAGCTGAATCTGTTCAGCCTCGAGCAAAGGAGACTAAGGGGGGACATGATCCAGGTATATAAGATTCTAACAGGTCTGGATGCTGTTCAGCCAAATGGCTACTTCAATATTAGTTTAAATACTAGAACCCGTGAACATAGGTGGAAATTAGCGGGAGAACATTTTAAAATGCATTTCAGAATGCACTTCTTTACACAGCATGTAGTTAGAGTATGGAATAGTCTTCCTGCTAGTGTAGCGCAAGCTAAAACCCTGGGTTCCTTTAAATCAGAGCTAGATAAGATTTTTACAACTCTGAGCTATTAGTTAACTTCTCCCCAAACGAGCTTGTTGGGCCAAATAGTCTCCTCTCGTTTGTAGATTTCTTATGTTCTTATATAGATATATACACATATACATACATACATATATATCATGTGAGTGTGTGTATGTGTGTGTGTATATATATATACATACACACACACACACACACACACACACACACACACACATATATATATCAGGGGTCTACTATCAAGTAGATTTTCTGTCCCACTTGACTTCTGATGAGCCACACCTGCTCCTGGTATTTACCTGAGAAGGTGTGGTTCATCAGAAGCCAGGTAGGATAGAAAACCTACTGGGCGGTAGCTCTCCAGGACCGGAGTTGGAGACCCCTGATATATATATATATATATATATATATATATATATATATATAAAATATACATACATACATACACACACACACACATAGTATGTGATCTTATATATATTACATATTTAAAAATCAGCTGGCTGTTGTTAATGTTGTTACCTGGGACAAGTGTTTCCTTCATGCTCCTCTTTCATGATAGCCTTAAAAATGCTAAAGGAGATTCATGTTTGTTTATGAAAGTAACTGGGAAAATGTCACCTTCGCATTATCTTTCTGGTCCATTCTAAAAGAGATATTTGTTGTGGTATATTAAAAAAAATATGCTGACCCACCATAAATATGGTGAGTTCCTAATTTCTAATAGTGTACAAAGTAGTTTGACCACAAATGGTTTGGGGGGAGACAACCATCTAGGCCCAGATAGTGCTTTGTATGGCTGCCCAGCAAATGCACGACGTTTACTTTTGAGTTGCGTTGGTTCGCTGATCGTAAATTGCATGCTGCAGTCATGCGGTAACGTGACATACTGGAATCCCTTTCCGGTCAGCTTAATGGCAGCCTTGGTGATATTGGGCATGAAGAAGGCTGTTGTTGGACAGGCTTGGAGCAGGAGACCACGTCATGAGCCTGGGAAATATAACTGGTAGCATGTTCTCTGAGGACAACAACAAACGACAGAGTGGCATTTAATTATTGTGTATTGGTACAAGTGTGTTCTCTAAGCTGAGCAAATAAATGATACAGGTCAAGCTACATTTACTGATATGCTGGTGGATGGGCTTATTGTGATGGTAATTGTTCAAGTCCTTCGTTATTTAACTACTAACAGTTTTGTATCCGTCATTTTTGTTTCTGTGCTTTAACTAATTGTTCTAAAACAACCTCTTTTTTTCTCCCAGGTTTCTGCCACAGAGGAATGCATAGGGCCTATGCGATTGAACCAAGAACCTATTCAGGTACAATACATTTCATTTTAATATGGCTAATTGTTCTGGCTGGCACAGTTCAGAAGGCAAATTTCAGTCTTTAGGTCCATGAACATAAAGGGAGTGGGGTCATTCTAGAGAACCTCAGTTGTTTTTGATTTGATGAGTGATGTCACAATTACTCTGGTGGTGGTACTTAAGTTATATATTCATTTATAGGCTTTTTGCTGTTTACGTAGGTTTTACACCTGTATTTAGCTTTGTTTTCAGATTTAATAAGATTTAAATGAATTAAGAACTGTTAAACCTCAGCTTATTTTGATTTGTTATTGTGTTGTGCTTGAGAAGAAAGGGAAATTGCCAAGGTATTAAATTATATAAGGGGAAATTCTTTGAAGTGCACTGTGTGTTCCAGCAGAGTGATTTTTGCTTTGTGGACATATTGAACAGATTTAGACAAGCCTTATTTTTGTTTTTTGCTAGCTTTCAGATGTGCTGTTTCCAAAAAAAAAACCATGATTGCATAGGGTATTAGTCTTTTGATTTCATACCTTTTATGCACTTCATACTTCACATTTGACACAGGGGAGATTTTGTTAACTTATTACACACATGATTTCATACTTTTTATGCACATGCTTGTTTTTAAATAAAATCTTTCATTTTCACACAGTCCCAGAATATGAGGCTAGAATAGTAGTTCAGGTTAAAATTTTTATTGATGTATTTGCTATTTGGATGTTTATTAAAGTTGCATTATATCGGTTAAAAGAAAAGGATTTATTTTTTTGTCTATAGATTTTGTTCATCTTGGTACAGAGCGTTAGGAGGAGATGGTATTCAAGTAATTGTATTATGTTTGGAGAAAGAAAGAAGAAAACAGTCGGTGAACTTACAGTGTTCAGAATGTCTGACCGTAGGGGGAGAAGCCTGCAGCTGTATTTTTATGCTGAATTTACACTCTCAAAAATGGCACATCGGCTTATGGTGCTGTGCTGTTTTCTATAATTGTAACATGTGATTGGCTCTGCAGTTACTATACCAAAGGGATGATGAATGCTCTGCTGTACAGACTCCAAATTAATGTTTATTTAGCAGTTCCAGCAAACCCATTCCACTAATTTTTCATTGCTACAAAATGTTTTTATTAAAAGAAGAAAAAAAAAAGCATGCTTTGCTAGAGACCTACAGTAAATACCCCTAGGAAAGGCTGGTAGTCACACCAAATATTTATTAACTAGAGATCAATTTCCATCCCACCGCAACCCTCACTAAGAAATATGGGAAGATGATGTCGATGTTAATGATGAAATTCTCCATCTTCATGCAGCATTTGGATCTATATTTAGATTTTGGTTCTATGTAGAATTACCAGCTTGATAAATTGATATTGATTGGTGATTAACACTTCAATTAAGTTCTCCTGAAATTCTGAGACCCTGTTTTTCAGAAGACATTGAGCTGTCCTCTAATCTCCCTCTCTGTTTGAGTGAGCCACTCACTATTTGCATGTATTACTGCAGGGTCCCCATTACTTTTCCAGGGTGGGATTCAATAAACAGTACAAAGCAAAGGGCCAGTGACTCATCCTCATTTGGTTTTATAATTATTCTAAAGTAGTTTTTTATTACCCCACATACTGCATAATATATTATTGATTTGTTTTTATTAATTTGAGTTGACCAACTATGGACAGAACTCCATCACTGACCACTGGCAATTTTTTTCTCCACATCCAAGCCATTTTTCAGGAATGGGTCCAGGTTGTTGAAAATAATTTTGCCAGCCGTGTACTGGTGTATGGGAAGCAAACATAGCAGCTCCCCCCACAAGTCCTCCCATTAAAAAAATCTCATGAAGAGGCGGCTGTTCTCTGTCGGCCCTGTTAGGAGAGGAGTCGCTGGCATGTGAAAGCGTGGCACGTGAAAGCGTGGCACGTGAAAGCGGAGTGGACAGGTCCACAGCCAAAACTTCCGCACTTCTCATCGCACGTTCACCACTGGTACTTGCTTCAGCCGCTGTATAACCTTTTTTCTATATGACTTAAAACATCTTCCTCCATATTGGTTAAACACGTTAGCATTTGTGAAATGTTTTTCAGCTTTTTCTAAGTTCCTCGAAAGGCATAGAGATGCCCCATTTACCCAATATTGCGTGGGTGCAGTTTAAGGATCACGGTAGCAGGATGGTTGTATGTATGTTGGGGGTGTAAAGTAAGCTTAGCACACCTCCCACTTCAGGCATATTGATTTCAGGGAGGCAGTTAGTGCTCAAGCCTAGTGCTGGCTAGTGGGGGGGGGGGGGGGGTGTAGTGCAGGTGGCAAAATTTGCCGTATTACAATCATACCGCCCAAGCCTATTAACACCTTGAAAAATGTTTATAAAGGTTCACCCATTTTATTACACTGCTGAAATTTGTGTTTGTTGCACTACATCTGCCCTCTGCTGGCTTGCTGGAGTATCACTGCTGTACGCATGCACCAACTGCAACCATTTGTATCCACAGACAAATGATGTCATTCTATGCAATGTAGGCGACAAAATACAAAAATACAATGAATCAATGACAAAATTCATTGTCAGCCTATTTTTATGATAGATCTCCATTATCGATTAAGTTGTTGCAGCACACTTTCAACGGACCATCTTACCATAGTAAATTAGTTTGTGTACATATGTCAGAGCAGTTGAGGTACCCATGTGATCCCATTGCTACTTGCTGACCCCGCACTCTGATCCCAAAAACCTGCTCACATCTGTATATGTCTGTGGGCAAGAGCAAGATATATGACAGCTACACAGATTAGTAAAATGTCTCTTTTTTTGGACTGACTTTTGCCTCCAGAACCACTTTGAAACATTGAGAAGCTTTTCTTCACACCACTGTTGTACTGAGCTGTTATTTTTGCACTTGTCATCTTCCTTTTAGCTTGGAGTCTCGACATACATTGACTGAATTATTTATTTTGTTGAGCGCAACATTCTCAGTAAAATATTGACTGTTTCTTAGATGCTAGACACAACTTATGTGGCACCAACAACCATACCACTTTCAGACTTGCGTCGATCACACATCTTTGCTGTTCTAATACTTAAACAAACGGTAAATGACCCTGTCTGCGTGATGTATGTATTCAGTTGCAGTCATGTGACTGTGGTTTTGAGGAACAGGCTGTTTGTGGTAATGGGCAGGTGTAGCTAATAAATTGGCCAACGAGTGTGTTTGAGTATATCACTCGGAATGGCCTTTCTGAATATACAACTCATCTAGCTTTGAAGCGGCTTTAGAGTTGGTCCTATATATACCAGGAGAGGTATGACTAATCTGTCGTCACATTTCTGGACCTCTCTGCAGTCCATCACTGTGCTCTTAGTCCCCGTGGAATGCAGACATACATTGGCAGGTGTGGTAATGCAACATAATTTGTCTTTCTCTGTATCCAGTGTCTAAGGTAGATATTATTTGATAATTTCAAGAAAATATGTACACTGAGCTTCAGGATTCAAAACGGCACCAGCTTATAGGAAAAGTGAAGCAGTCGTATTAGTTGGTAGTCTTAACTGAGCCTTGTCAGCGTCAGGATACAGAGTTAGAGCTTATGGTGGTGGTGTCCAAGAATGTGTTTTTTTTTTTTTTAGCTATGGGAATCAGTACAGCATACAACCCGCATCTGTTTTCCTTCACCAAATGTTGCGTGCCGCATATGAGCAGAGCTAATGGCTATCAAAAGCCAGCAAATGTGTAAATGGAACTGATGCATACAAAAAATCTTGATCCAGTTACGTGTTAAAATGAAATGTTCTCAGTGTGTAACTGTGAGTATGTCTGTGCGTGGGTTTGCACAATGTGAATTAACTACAACCTCTTTGCATTTAGTGACTGAGTTCCGTTTCAACGACAAGGTCACTTAGTGAAATAGTCACTAAGTGAGTATCATATTAGCCTACGCATGACAGTTACTGTACTTACTGTATGACATCACATCAGCCTTATACACTCAGTTTCTTTTATCTTTCAGGAACTGGACATTTTTAACAAGATTTTGTACATTCTACTTCAAAGATCTCTCTCGCTCCTGCCTGTGTTGTGAGGTGTATGAAATTTGGTCGTAAATGCATGCATAGGTCCGATGATTAATTTTTTTTTACTGTGGTATTTGTGAATAGTCCCTAACCAAGGTAGTTGCTTGACGAATAGTAGTAGTAACAGTAGTAGGAGACGACTCCTGAGTATGTAAAATACTGCATTCGAGAACCAAGTCAATTAGGCTTTGAGAAATCGCTCATAAATGAAAAAATATTTTCAGCATATATTGCTATAATCATAGTGTCTGATTGGTATGACAGGCAGATCATGGTGTGTGCTAATGTTAAAATGTAAATGTGTAAACATTGTGACATCAGTATGAACTTCATTTTCTAAATGTGCACCTTAGTGGATATTTATTTTAGTTTTATGTACTTGACAGAATATTTTTTTTATTTAATTATAAGTAAATTTTAGTTTTTTATTAGTAGGTTGCAGCAGTATTTATGTTTTGTTTCTTTTACCCCTGCTGTACCAAAAACGTACTGAACTGTGACCTCAAAACGTACCGAACCATAATTTTTGTGCCCGTTGCAGACCCTAGAATCAGTAATATAATGAAATAAGCCATGATCAAAAACTAAAAAGTAAAGTAATTCAAAAAGATTAAATTTCTTAGCCCCAGTGTGAATATGGATTTATTTATGATTAAAAACTCAAATGTATACTTATAAATATTATGTGTAAAATATTGTCATTTTACAAGTACAATGTACAGTACTGAAGTAGGAATTCTGCAAGAGAGATGCAGCCTTAAATTACGTAAAATCAGTTCACACCCGGTTGACCACGGTGTGACTGTTTTAGGCTCCATTCCAGCCCAATCCATAAATCATCTGGGGTTGGATCTAATGACCGAGGGGCTATGGCTTACACATACCATCTGCATTCCCAGTGCATATCAAACTGGGCGGCCACATCTTGTCTGTGATTGGGGGCAGTG